TGTCTCCAGAAGGAGAGTAGCAAGGTCACCAAGCAGACAGTGGTGACCACCAAAACAAAAGTGACCCAGACATGGCTAGAGTTACATACGTCATTGTCTGGGCTGTGAACCGTGAGGGAGTGAGGGAAAGGTGCCCAGTGGGTATAGGCCAAGAGTGGCAGGGACTGAAGAGCTGACACAGACCTGTGGATCATGAAGTGCAGCTCCCAAATTTACGGACAGAGAAACCCAGGCAGTGACTTGGCTCTAGAGATTCAGCCCCTCCCCTTTCACAGGATAGCCCAAACCATGGGAGATGCGCCGCGCCCTCGGTGGCATTTAAGATCATTGCATGTGCTAGTTGGACATAGCATTGGTAAATACTGAATCACAAGTCAAGAAAGTATTAATAACTCCTTTTTCTATTCTCTTCAATCCATCTGATTACTTCTAAAAGAAAACGTCAGCTTGGCACTAATATATTTTTAACACCCTCTAACATTTGCTCAACAAACAAAGAAAGAGCATCGTCAATCTCAGAGGAGGATCTGGCTAGAATCCACAACTTTATATTGTTCCATTACATGTATTTTCATAGTTACCTAATATTTATTGGAAGTGATACTTCCTTTTAATGACATGATAGAAAGTCTCTATTTTTAAAAAGTTATTTTTATATCAGTCTTTTTAAAAATGAGTACATAATATGGATAATGCAAGGACAGAGCAAAAGTCATGAAAGTGGAATGGGAATCACCAATATTTGGGGGAACATTCCAACCATCAGAAATTGCTTCTTATCCTCTGAGTTCCCTGATCTGTGCCCCTCTGCAGGGAAGGGATGGGGGAGGGGGCAGTTCACTGTCAAACCGGTCTGAGTCTTTAACATCCTCAGGTATTTACTTGGACCCACTGCTAAACTAGAAACCAGATTTTTAAAAACCTCAGTATGATTACTTTAGCATTCTTATTTAAGTTGCAAATATGAAAGGCTCCTTACCGTCACATTTTTCCCATAGTGCACACACTCCACAAACTTTCTCAGCTGAGGCAGGCAGAGTACAGCTGTCTCTACCAGTAAGGGTGTAATTTCTACCCTGACAGTGGAGAACATGCATCTTGCAAACTGTCAGAGGCAGTATCCTTTTGCTTCTCTCATCTCGAGCACATACATCCAAGGAAGATCTGAAAAGAATATTTTAGTGACATTATCTACAAAGTTTTTAATCTTAAAAGCGGAGGAGAAGTGATAAGTAAGGCTCTGAGCTTAGTGCCCCCAGATGTTATCACCCACAACAAAAAAATGGGACAGAAACTCAAATCCCTTTCATTCCTAGGGCCCAATCTGGATATTCTAAATAAGCATATTTATATGTACTCTTTATTTGCTCACAATTTTTACAAGCATAGATATCTAGTGTTGATCTAGTTTCATCTAGAATAGATCAGATACAGAAAATCAGATGAGAAGGCAATGTCTGCTAGCAACAGCTACTGGATTGACAAGGAAGGAGACAGAAAATCAGCAAAGATCAAGCATTCAGAGAGGTCATCATCAAATGGGACCACTGACTGCAGGAGAAATGAGTTCCTCCCAGCCCAGCTACCAAGAGTTCATGTCCATAAAACAACATCATCCAATAATTGATGGCTCTGAGTCATCAGGGGAAGATGAAACTGTATTTCTCAATGGTATTTTTAAAAGTATCTATGTTTGCAAAATATTTTGGAAATATTTCTGTAAGGCCAGATGGGTGGCTCACGTCTATAATCCCAGCTATTTGGGAGGCCAAGGCAGGAGGGATCACTTGAAGCCAGGAGTTTGAGACCAGCCTGGGCAACATAGCAAAATCATGTTTCCAAAAAAACGAAAAAAATTAGCCAGACACAGTGTCATGTGCCCGTAGTCCAACCTCCTCAAGAGGCTTGCTTGAGTCCAGCAGTCCGAGGCTGCAGTGAGCTATGATCATACCACTGTGCTCCAGCCAGGGTGACACAGTGATACCCTGTCTCAAAAAAACAAAAAAAAAAAGGAAAGAAATATTTTCATAAAACGTGTTTCTTTTTTTTTTTTTTGTAAGCATTGCTGCTAAAATGATAAGATATAGCTATTTAGAAATGTCACTATTAAAAAACCCACATTTCTGGCCAGGCACGGTGGCTCATGCCTGTAATCCTAGCTCTCTGGGAGGCCAAGGCGGGCAGATTGTTTGAGCTCAGGAGTTCGAAACCAGCCTGAGCAAGAGCGAGACCCTGTCTCTACTAAAAATAGAAAGAAATTAATTGGATAACTAAAAATACATAGAAAAAATTAGCCGGGCATGGTGGCGCATGCCTGTAGTCCTAGCTACTCGGGAGGCTGAGGCAGAAGGATTGCTTGAGCCCAGGAGTTTGAGGTTGCTGTGAGCTAGGATGATGCCACGGCAGTCTAGCCCAGGCAACACAGTGAGACTCTTGTCTCAAAAAAAAAAAAAAAAACAAACCCACATTTCTGAATGTTGATGGATAAGGAAGGAATTGCTATACATGAAACCTTAGACAACAAAGCATTTTTGTATGGCAGATAGAGTCATAAAGTCTACATTCACGTATTTCATTTAGTTTCAATATTTTCCTCTTTGACCAAGAGCTACATTTACTTGGAGTTATTTATATAACAGAAAAAAATCCTGTTGGTCTTTGTATCTATCCTTTGATCTGTTTATTTAAACTTTAGATAGAATGACTCAGAATGACTGAAAGGGCAGAGACCCTACAATACTACCTTGTTAGCATGTAAGACCATGAAATGATATGAAAGTTCATACCATGTCTACAAACAACAGGCTGCAGATAAATTAAATAAATTGGGGAAGTTGGAAAGAGGATGAAAGTTAATCATAGTACACAATTATTAGAGAACAGCAGCAGAGTCAGAATATCAGAATCAGAATGTACCTGGGCTGACCACCATTTCCATTCATACCATTTAGTTATATTCTTCTACATACCAGAAGTTACTATGTAGAATCACTATTAACCTACTATAAGTTCAAGAAGATGGATATGGGTTTTGATGACCATAATAACTGAAAGCCAAGAAATTCATTAGTAAATTAGTGTTTTGGTGCTTGACCTTAAAGATGATCAATAAATCTGGGGGCTGGAGGTCTCCTGTTTCCTCCCAGATCCACTCTCCTTCTCTTCTCCACCTTCCTGGGAGACTGCAGCATATGGCCTACATCATGGGCTCCCTTGTCCTTTAGCTTCAGTCAGTTTGATCAGGTGGGAGCATAAGCAGGAGGTTGCAGGCAGGAAGGAGAGTGCAGTTGGGGTGTTTTTCCCCTGGCTCACTCCTGTGGGATCTCTAAGGTCCCTAAAATGAGTATCAGCTCCTCCACAGAGCCCTCTCTGTCTCCAGGGTTTCCTAAATGCTGCCTCCTCTCTCCTTCAGGCCTGGGTATGACATATGGCCCTACCTGTTATCAGCCCAGGAGTACTGCCCTGGGGCTTGTCATTTCCTTTACTCTGCTCACACTTTTGCAAACAATCCTGCTAAGAAAACTCTTCTTGTCCTAATTTAATTGTGCCCTCTGTATCCTACTAGGACCATGACACAGACATCTAGTAACTACTTCAGATATCCTCCTACAATGCAGTAATTTCAAGTTGGTGGCATTCTTATAATGCAAGTCTAGATTAGATGCTCAAGAATCAGAAAAGCAGATGCTCTTTATCTATATTACTTTAAAAGCTTATGTCCCATGGGAATTTTAGCTCTAATCTTCTAAAGATCTAAATCCTCAGGTGACAGTTTTGTCACTTTGCTCCATTATAAAACAAGCAGTGCCCAAGTAGTCCTTCAGCCTTTCTCATTAGCCAGATTGGAACACTGCTTAATGCCATGGCTGTCAGCCCCAGTGACCCAGGCAAATAACAGGCAGCAGATGGACCAGATTAAAATGCAAAGACCCTTAACCCTTGGTAAGCTACGCCTTCAATCTAACAGAGACTAGCATCTAAGAAATCATCACGTTTATCTTGAATAAAATAAAACAGAGAAGTGAGCAAAGACAGAGCTTACCCACATTCATAGGGCATCTTACAAACACATCTTGAATTCTGCAGTTTCTCCCAGCGCTGACATTTAGGTACTGCCAGTGTTAAAGGGGCATCTAAAATAAAAGGATAAGGAAGAGGCAATTGTTGGGAGAAGAGCTTTTCATAGTAAATAAGGTATTATTTGAATTGTTGGTGCAAGGTCTGTAGTATTATCAACTGCAATGAGTTTACACAGTAAAAATAATAATAATAAAGCTGTAAAACATTTTACAAAACAGTATCCTAGGAAAATTCTACAAATAATTGCATTGGTAATAATAGCTACTATTTCTTGAGCATTTACAATTGGTCATGCACTTTTCATACATGGAGATATATGAGCCACCCTAAAAAATGCCCATTTAAAAGGTGAGAAAACTAAGGGTCAGAAAAGTTAGAAAACTGATGTTAGTTCACACAATTAACCAATTGGCCAAGCCAGGATATAAGTCCACATTTGTCTGAATCCAAAGCCAGTAAAGGGGCTCCTTCTCAAGAAGTTGGTGTTTGGTGTTTAGACTGCATTTTTCCCACTCTACCTATAATGAGACAGAAAGCAGCAACATAACTTGACTTATACACAGAGAAGAGAACTCCCTGGTATCCCGAGGAGGTCTGCAATAACCTCTTACGTGTAAATGTCTAAGTGGTCTCCCTCAACAGTGGGTAAATGTCTGGAGGTACATACATTAATAACATTCTTTCTACAGGGGAGGGAGGCAAGATGGCTGACTAGACATCACCGCTGAACCATCCCGGAGGGAAGGAAGGGTTTCAGATAAAGGAGAGCGGAGGAGAGATGCAGCTTGGGTGTAGATCATAGAGAGAAGTGCTGGAGCCTGCCAGGGAGAGGAAAAGTGCAAAGCAGAGAAGGAAGAAGATAAAGGAAAATAGTTATCAGCAAGGATTAAACCCAGGGAGGCTTGGTGCCCAGTGGAGAGGTATGGGGTGCCCTTTTCTCTCTCCCATACTCACAGAGGATACAAACAAATGGAAGAACATATCATGCTCATCGATAGGTAGAATCAACATCATTAAAATGTCCATACTACCCAAAGTGATTTGCAAATTCAATGCAATCCCCATCAAGTTACCAAAGTCATACTTCACAGATCTAGAAAAAATAATTCCACACTTCATTTGGAACCAGAAAAAAGGCTCAAATAGCTACACTAATCTTAAGCAAAAAGAAGAAATTTGGAGGCATCACATTACCAGATTTCAAACTATACTATAAGACTATAGTAACCAAAACAGCATGGTATTGGTACAAAATTAGAGACAT